CAAAGCCTTGATACTATTATCTACCCTGCAACTCTAAACTACACTGTCATTTGCCCCAACCCTAAATTATATTGCAGCCTCTTACACAGTACCTCCCTACCCCAATACCCTTTCATATCTCCCTACATATGCTTTCTCAGTATTCCTCAGATACCTTCTCATGGTATCCCCTCATTTCATGCTGCCCTCCTCCCCCCCCCCACTACCCCCTTAGGGTATCACCCCTCAACATATAATTTCATGGTATCCCTGCATGCTGCTTTTTTCTCAGTACCCCACTATCAATGTATCCCCATCACTTGCTCTCATTATGCTATACAACCCCCTCTCCTCTGCTTTCAGAATGTATCCTCCCTCTTTAAATGCTTTCTTTGTGTCCTGAATCAACGCCCTGCTCATGTTTTCTATACTCTTCCCATTACACACTTTTTGTTCCTGAAGTGCTCATCTGTCCCCAAATTATAATCCCCCCCCTCCGCATCCCCCAGATCCTCATCCCCCCCCTCCATCCCACCCAGATCCTCATCCCCCCCTCAGATCCTCTCAGATCACCGTCCCTCCCCTCCGTATCCCCCAGATCCTGGAGTCCCACTCCCCTCCGTATCCCCCAGATCACTCCACTCCCTCCCTCCATCCCCAAGATCCTGGAGTCCCTCCCTCGGTATCCCCAGATCTCGTCCCTCCCCTCCATTGTATCCCCCAGATCCTGGGTCCTTCCCTCTCCGGTATCCCCAGATCCTCGTCCCCCCCCTCCAGTCCCGGATCCTTAAGCCCCTCCCCTCCGTACATCCCCAGATCCTGGAGTCCCCCCTCCATTGTCCCCAGTCCCTCATCCCCCCCTCCGTATCCCCAGATCCTCGTCCCCCCTCGAATCCCAGATCCTGGGTCCCTCCCCTCCGGTATCCCAGATCCTCGTCCCCCCCTCCAGTCCCAGATCCTGGAGTCCCTCCCCTCCGTGTCCCCCCCAGATCCTGCGTCCCTCCCCCTCACAGGCCACCCCAGATCCGCGTCCCTCCCCTCTAGATCCCACAGATCCCTGGGTCCACTCCCCTCGGTATCCCCAGATCCTCGTCCCTCCCCTCCATTATCCCCAGATCCTGGAGTCCCTCCCCTCCATTGTCCACCCCAGATCTTGTCGCTTCCCCTCCGTGTCCCCAGATCCTTGTCGCTTCCCTCCGGTATCCCCAGATTCTTGTCCCTCCCCCCTCCGGTATCCCTCAGATCGCTTGTCCCTCCCCTCTGTATCCCCCAGATCCTCATCCCCCCCTCCGGATCCCCCAGATCCTTGTCCCTCCCCTCCGTATCCCCCAGATCCTTGTCCCTCCCCTCCGTATCCCCCAGATCCTTGTCCCTCCCCTCCGTATCCCTCAGATCCTTGTCCCTCCCCTCCGTATCCCCCAGATCCTCGTCCCTCCCCTCCGTATCCCTCAGATCCTTGTCCCTCCCCTCTGTATCCCCCAGATCCTCATCCCCCCCTCCGGATCCACCAGATCCTTGTCCCTCCCCTCCGTATCCCCCAGATCCTGCGTCCACTCCCTCGTTATCCACCCCAGATCCCGCGTCCCTCCCTCCGTATCCCCCAGATCCTCGTCCCTCCCCTCCGTATCCCCCAGATCCTCGTCCCTCCCCTCCGTATCCCCCAGATCCACGTCCCTCCCCTCCGTATCCCCCAGATCCTCGTCCCTCCCCTCCGTATCCCTCATACCCTCAATATTTCCATTTTCCTCCCTAGGAGCAGTTTGTCTCTTTGTTTCTCTCGGTCAGCCTTTGTTTTGGTTTTCTCCCACCCTTTGTGATGATTCACATAGAAAATTCTTCAGGCCTCTTTAACAATTAGTTTAACATATGAAACGAAACACACCTAAGCAGGCTGTCTGCTGTCTGCACCTTGTTACCTACCAAACCCATCATATAGGAAAAACTCACCTACACAACAAACCACCACAGCAGCCCACCTCAATGTGTAGCTCAACCACATCACCACTACCTCGTTCTACAACATTCGGCTTCAGTTACCTACAGCCAAAGGTCCACCAGTCTGTCTGCCACCTGACCTAAAAAGTTGCTGATTAACGACCCGCATTATGACTGCTCCATTCCACATCCACTCTTAGCCAGCCAGCCAGCCGGGTTTCTTTCACTGATACACTGTGTTGTATTCTCTGTGTACTAATCCTGTGGTTTTGGTGTTTGGCAGGGCGGCTGAGATATATCCCACACGATGGCAGCGCCAGGTAAGAATTAAAGTGGAGTAGAGTGGGTCCAACCTTACAAAAATAGAGTGCTCTGATAAACAGAAAACAACAGATCACTGCTAGGATTTATCATTCTAGGGCTGCCCTCGAATATATGCATGGTTCATAAACCCAGCAGTTCTATCCACCGTATCCCCGAGCTATAGCCAGCTGGTATGATAAACCCAGCGGTTCTATTCACTGTATCCCCGAGCTATAGCCAGCTGGTATGATAAACCCAGCGGTTCTATTCACTGTATCCCCGAGCTATAGCCAGCTGCTATGATAAACCCAGCGGTTCTATTCACCGTATCCCCGAGCTATAGCCAGCTGCTATGATAAACCCAGCGGTTCTATTCACCGTATCCCCGAGCTATAGCCAGCTGGTATGATAAACCCAGCGGTTCTATTCACCGTATCCCCGAGCTATAGCCAGCTGGTATGATAAACCCAGCGGTTCTATTCACCGTATCCCCGAGCTATAGCCAGCTGGTATGATAAACCCAGCGGTTCTATTCACCGTATCCCCGAGCTATAGCCAGCTGTATGATAAACCCAGCGGTTCTATTCACCGTATCCCCGAGCTATAGCCAGCTGGTATGATAAACCCAGCAGTTCTATTCACCGTATCCCCGAGCTATAGCCAGCTGGTATGATAAACCCAGCAGTTCTATTCACCGTATCCCCGAGCTATAGCCAGCTGGTATGATAAACCCAGCAGTTCTATTCACCGTATCCCCGAGCTATAGCCAGCTGGTATGATAAACCCAGCAGTTCTATTCACCGTATCCCCGAGCTATAGACAGCTGGTAGAATAAACCCGGCAGTTCTATTCACTGTATCCCTGAGCTATAGCCGGCTGGTAGAATAAACCCGGCAGTTCCATTCACTATACCCCTGAGCTATAGCCTGCTGGTAGAATAAACCCAGCAGTTCTATTCACTGTATCCCTGAGCTATAGCCGGCTGGTAGAATAAACCCAGCAGTTCTATTCACTGTATCCCTGAGCTATAGCCAGTTGGTATGATAAACCTAGCAGTTCCTTTCTACCTTCTGGTAGAATAAACCCAGCAGTTCTATTCACTGTATCCCTGAGCTATAGCCGGCTGGTAGAATAAACCCGGCAGTTCTATTCACTATATCCCTGAGCTATAGCCTGCTAGTAGAATAAACCCGGCAGTTCTATTCACTGTATTCCCGAGCTATAGCCGGCTGGTAGAATAAACCTGGCAGTTCTATTCACTGTATCTCCGAGCTATAGCCGGTTGGTAGAATAAACCCAGCAGTTCTATTCACTGTATCCCTGAGCTATAGCCGGCTGGTAGAATAAACCCAGCAGTTCTATTCACTATACCCCTGAGCTATAGCCTGCTGGTAGAATAAACCCAGCAGTTCTATTCACTGTATCCCTGAGCTATAGCCTTCTGGTAGAATAAACCCAGCAGTTCTATTCACTGTATCCCCGAGCTATAGCTGGCTGGTAGAATAAACCCAGCAGTTCTATTCACTGTATCCCCGAGCTATAGACCTCTGGTAGAACAAACCCAGCAGTTCTATTCACTGTATCCCTGAGCTATAGCCGGCTGGTAGAATAAACCCAGCAGTTCTATTCACCGTATCCCTGAGCTATAGCCAGCTGGTATGATAAACCCAGCAGTTCTATTCACTGTATCCCCGAGCTATAGCCAGCTGGTATGATAAACCCAGCAGTTCTATTCACTGTATCCCCGAGCTATAGCCAGCTGGTATGATAAACCCAGCGGTTCTATTCACTGTATCTCCGAGCTATAGCCGGCTGGTAGAACAAACCCAGCGGTTCTATTCACTGTATCCCCGAGCTATAGCCAGCTGGTATGATAAACCCAGCAGTTCTATTCACTGTATCCCCGAGCTATAGCCAGCTGGTATGATAAACCCAGCAGTTCTATTCACTGTATCCCCGAGCTATAGACAGCTGGTAGAATAAACCCGGCAGTTCTATTCACTGTATCCCTGAGCTATAGACAGCTGGTAGAATAAACCCGGCAGTTCTATTCACCGTATCCCCGAGCTATAGACAGCTGGTAGAATAAACCCAGCAGTTCTATTCACTGTATCCCCGAGCTATAGCCAGCTGGTATGATAAACCCAGCGGTTCTATTCACTGTATCTCCGAGCTATAGCCGGCTGGTAGAACAAACCCAGCGGTTCTATTCACTGTATCCCCGAGCTATAGACAGCTGGTAGAACAAACCCAGCAGTTCTATTCACTGTATCCCCGAGCTATAGACAGCTGGTAGAATAAACCCGGCAGTTCTATTCACTGTATCCCCGAGCTATAGCCAGCTGTTAGAACAAACCCAGCAGTTCTATTCACTGTATCCCCGAGCTATAGCCGGCTGGTAGAATAAACCCAGCAGTTCTATTCACTGAATCCCCGAGCTATAGCCAGCTGGTATGATAAACCCAGCGGTTCTATTCACCGTATCCCCGAGCTATAGCCAGCTGGTATGATAAACCCAGCAGTTCTATCCACCGTATCCCCGAGCTATAGCCAGCTGGTATGATAAACCCAGCAGTTCTATTCACTGTATCCCCGAGCTATAGACAGCTGGTAGAATAAACCCGGCAGTTCTATTCACTGTATCCCTGAGCTATAGACAGCTGGTAGAATAAACCCAGCAGTTCTATTCACTGTATCGCTGAGCTATAGACAGCTGGTAGAATAAACCCGGCAGTTCTATTCACCGTATCCCCGAGCTATAGACAGCTGGTAGAATAAACCCAGCAGTTCTATTCACCGTATCCCCGAGCTATAGACAGCTGGTAGAATAAACCCGTCAGTTCTATTCACCGTATCCCCGAGCTATAGACAGCTGGTAGAATAAACCCAGCAGTTCTATTCACCGTATCCCCGAGCTATAGACAGCTGGTAGAATAAACCCGGCAGTTCTATTCACTGTATCCCCGAGCTATAGCCGGCTGGTAAAATAAACCCAGCAGTCATATTCACTGTATCCCTGAGCTATAAGTTAATCAGATATTAAATAAATGATTGACAATCAGTATTGACCCCTGTGTTCTTCCCACAGGTTATCCTTCACCCATGGCTGGGTACCCTTCTCCACCATATCCCACCCCTCCTTATCCTGGCCCATCAGCACCTCCTGCACCTGCATCACCCGGTTTCCATGACTACCCTGGTCCTGGATGCAGCATTCCCCCACATCACCACATGCATCCCTCAAAACATCCACAGCCAGACCCTCCAGGGGGAGCACCTTACCTGCCCGTGAGCACAGGAACTGCCACCTCTGGCCTGGCCTACTTGGATCAGGTAAGTGTCCACACTATAGTCAGAGGTTAAAGGGAACACAATATGTTTGGATGAATTCGAATCTGACTGGGGGGGGGGCTCATGTGACTAACCTATTACACCATCAGCAAAGCGTATTCCTGCTAGCATAGGGACAATTATCGTCATGGAGCTTATTGCTAGATGTCTGAGTTGTTCACAGCTGGTTGTGGTGGTTGTGGTGTGTGCAGTGCTGACAGGTGATTGCGGTGTGTGCAGTGCTGACAGGTGGTTGCGGTGTCTCTATATAGGGATAGACGCTGTATTTTGTGCCGGTTAGTGAGAGCTTTTTTCCTGTCGAGTACATGGAAGGGCACTGTAATGGAGTGCGTTCCGGTCATGCTGTTTCCTGGAAGGACGGCTCAATGGGCTGTCACCCCACCCTCTGCGACACCAATATTACACATTCCCAGACATTGTTCGTAAATGGGCTCTTACTCTGTCAGCGTCTTATTGCTCCAGACGTGGTATGTAGAATGCCTCCCTCCAAGCTAGCCAAACCAAGGCCTGAATGTGTCGGCAACCAGTGTGGCTACCGGTTTAACCCAGTGCCTCCTTACTCTCTGCGTCTCTTAAGACTGTCCAGGAGTAGGGAATTTGACTTAATAAATACGGTTTCGTAACAATACAGGTGGATGGCTTAATGCTAGATTTTTTTTAAACATTTCCTTGATTTTAGATTCTAGTGTGGCTTGTTTTCTTTGGAGTTAGTCACTTGTTTTTAGGTTTTCTTAACATTGGAGCTCCATGCCTTCTTGTGATTTTTAGTGAAATATTTTTGATATTCAGAATATTTCTCCATGTGTACCTGGCCTCCTATTTCACATTATGTTAAGTATTTGGAACTGGTGCGTGACTCATTGGGGAGGGCATGGCAGGGTGTGTGCAGTAAAAGCCTTTCTTTTATGGAGTTCCACCGCAGTAGTTCCTGGTCTATTATAATATAATATGGTAAAGTGTCTGTAATTTGTTTAACAGAGCTTGCCGTTCTAAATGTGTCATTTAATCCCAACATTGCAAACTTTAACGGACTGTCTCATAGAACCAGGACAAGCTGGGGGGGGCTGGGTGGCAACTTCCCGTCGGGGCACTAGTACCTCACATACCGGTCTCTTGCTCTCTCCTAAGGACAGCACTCTACCCTCTCCTCCAGCTCTGCTTTATTCCCACGTTATTTGATTGCTAGCTCCTGTCCTAGTGTGTTTTATACCCCACCTACTATGGACTGTAAGGAGCAGAGTCCTCTTCCACCTTGTAAAATGAACAAAAGGGTGGAGTTTCCTGATGTGGCCTCAGACCAGGCTATTTATTTTCAGTCAGACAGAACACACTAGGGAACCATAGCCACTTCATCTCATGTAAGTGGTTATAGTACCTGGAGTTCTCTGTCCATTGGTTTGACACTGAGCCGCTGTGTTGGCTCAGGTGACACTTGCAGACCATCACTACTACCCAGGGTTATTAGTGCCAGCTAGGTCCATGTACCTGGGGACCCTTATTCAGTGCCAAACCAATCGAAAATAGTTGAACACTGAATGGTTTGGCGGTGCCAGGATTAACACTTCAATGAAATGAAGTGGTTATGGTGCCTTTAATCCTGGCGGTTGTTTATTATTGTGGATACTCTATATCTTTCAGAATACCGGAGAGGGGACTTTTCTAGGTGGATGGCATCACATTACTGTCATAAAACCTTTAACCCCAGTGCTTGCATTTCAGTATAGAAAGTCATTTCACAAAGTATTCACCCAGGAATTCATGGAGTGTTAGCAAGACGCCACATTCTGAGAGACTGAAAATCCAGAATATACACATAGATTAGATTGTACCCCGCAAGAGCCTGGTACCCTGCCACCCAGGTGGTTCCTTGTATAAACCTGGAGTTCTCTTCACCCAAAACATTGTATAACATATATAGTGTCTGATATTATATGGCATGTAATAACCTGAGAAGGTTACTGCGATAACAATGTTTGTGTTGGAGGAAACTGTGATAACACATTGTTTGGGATAACTGGCCTGGGGGTTCGTGGGGCCGCAAAGGCCAAGGTTCAATCATTATGTAGCAATATTATTTAGACTTAAAATAAAAACATTTGGACCCACACAAGCGTCTCCAATTCCAGTGTCCCATGTGTAGTATTGAGGCGGTTGTATTGCACATGCGTTTGGTGGTCGTCAGGGCTGAACATAGACTGCGTGCAATGCACCATAACCACTAAATCACTGCTCCTGCGTAAAACCCAGCAGGACGTGGCAGTGATAATCCTGTCTCCTGTACGATCCTTTTTTTTTCTGGCCTCGATAGCATCCCCCTCTTCTCGCCCCACCACAGCGGATAGAGATCCCCCATAGACATTACCTTGTCATTAATGAGTGACGGTCCTTGCAAACCCACCATAAAATAAACATCAGTGTGATGGGAGAATGCCTTCCTAACACATGAAATAAAAATCCTTCATTGTGTGAGCAAAATATCTCTGACAAAGAATCTGAGATATAGATACCTGCACATGGATTGTCTGCGATGCCTGTGTGCCTGTCGGGGGTCGCTGCCGTGTCTGCGATGCCTCTGTGCCTGTCGGGGGTCGGCTGCCGTGTCTGCGATGCCTTTGTGTCTGTCCTGGGTCGGCTGCCGTGTCAACGATGCCTGTGTGCCTGTCCTAGGTCGGCTGCTGTGTCTGCGATGCCTGTGTGACTGTCGGGGGTTGGCTGCCGTGTCTGCTATGCCTGTGTGTCTGTCGGGGGTCGGCTGCCATGTCTGCGATGCCTGTGTGCCTGTCGGGGGTCGGCTGCCGTGTCTGCGATGCCTGTGTGCCTGTCGGGGGTCGGCTGCAGTGTCTGCGATGCCTGTGTGCCTGTCGGGGGTCGGCTGCAGTGTCTGCGATGCCTGTGTGCCTGTCGGGGATCGGCTGCCGTGTCTGCGATGCCTGTGTGCCTGTCGGGGGTCGCTGCCGTGTCTGCGATGCCTGTGTGCCTGTCGGGGGTCGGCTGCCGTCTGTGCGATGCCTGTCCTGGGTCGGCTGCCTTGCCCGTCGGGGCTGATATCTGCTTAGCGCAGCACTTTCTATGCCATTTTATGATTGCTGATTTTTAATGCTTTTCATCTAATTGCTTTTCAGATTGACCAAATACTAATTCACCAGAAAACAGAGCTGCTGGAAGGCAAGTGATTTTATAGAAATGAAACGGGTCTGGTCTGGATCACATGGAAACTCAGACAAAGAAATGAAACAAAAAACACACACACACTTTGTTTTGCCAGATAACCAAAATATTTATATACCAAGGTTATGTACTAAAGAGTAAATTCAAAATGAATTTCAAATGTAAGGCCAGAGTAGCCGAAGTGAAAGCAGAGCCATCTTGGAGAATTATTAAGTTTCCGTTATAAACAGTGAATTATAGGGAACACTCCAATGCCCAAATACTGAAAAATAAAATTCATTATTTAGTAGACAAGATGAAAATATGCATTTAATGGAAACTATATTCCTTTGGGGAATATCTTCAAACAGCTTGTAAAACCTGTAGATCTCATGTCTGCACCCTTTGCAAGCCCTCCCCTTCTAACTCCGCCCACGCTTTATGTGACTGTCCAATCAGACTGCCCAATGCAGCTCAGTGAGAAGGCAGGTGCCAGGCAGGTGCTATGATTGGCAGCCAGGAGTGTAACAAGGTTATTTTATAAAAGTGACAATTACTGTTGAAATCTGCACTTTTTGTACAATGAAAACACTTCACACTTCAGCTTGAGGTGTCTGGATTGTCCCTTAAAATGTGAAACGTGCTTTTGAATTCTTACTGTAAGTGCGAACACTGCAAACGCATCACCTGACTTTCTAACGATTCCTTGTTAATCCGTTACACCAATTAAAGGACAAATTAGCACTAGAACCACAGTATAACAAGTACGATAACACAGTACCCGGAATTGTCCATTTCGAAGTACTTTATAGGGAGATACACTGCACCGTGTGTAAGGAACACAATGGAATGAACTCACTGTAACGGTATTTTTGGACAAGGGCTAGCCTTTGGAGATATGTCCTTCAAAATGTGGTGAAATCCATATAAATAGAAACAAACATACATAACTCGAAGAACAAGTAACATAATAATACATCAATCTATAACACAATCAGAACTTTCCTAAATATGGAAAAACACTGATATCCAGAGGCAGCTGGTCCGTTATTGGCAATTTCCAAATTTGCATATTGTGTTCATACAAATCAATGCATTTTCCAGGTTCACCATCAGAGAGCAATGGGGAGTCATCATAAACCGGAAAAAATCCCAAATACCAGGTAGAGGATTTAGGGACACACACATTGCAATACACACAGAAAGGGAATCAACACAGTAAAGGAAGAGACTATATTTAGAAGAAGAAAAACTACCACAACAAGAGGACATAGTCTTAAATTAGAGGGACAAAGGTTTAAAAATAATATCAGGAAGTATTACTTTACTGAGAGGGTAGTGAATGCATGGAATAGGGGGACACACACTGCAATGTCTGTAAGGAACACGTTAAAGGGACACACACACTGCAATGTCTGTAAGGAACACGTCAAAGGGACACACACACTGCAATATCTGTAAGGAACACGTTAAAGGGACACACACTGCAATATCTGTAAGGAACACATTAAAGGGGGACACACACTGCAATGTCTGTAAGGAACACATTAAAGGGACACACACTGCAATGTCTGTAAGGAACACGTTAAAGGGACACACACACACTGCAATGTCTGTAAGGAACACGTTAAAGGGACACACACACACTGCAATGTCTGTAAGGAACACGTTAAAGGGACACACACACACTGCAATGTCTGTAAGGAACACGACAAAGGGGGACACACACTGCAATGTCTGTAAGGAACACGACAAAGGGGGGGACACACTGCAATGTCTAAGGAACACGACAAAGGGGGGACACACTGCAATGTCTGTAAGGAACACGTTAAAGGGGTACACACACTGCAATGTCTGTAAGGAACACGTTAAAGGGGGACACACACTGCAATGTCTGTAAGGAACACGTTAAAGGGACACACACACTGCAATGTCTGTAAGGAACACTGTAGCGGATGGCACTGGGCTGTCCTGCAAATGTCTTTGAAATAATTGCATTCGTGTGATCTGCTAGTTTTCTATGTGTTTTAAAAGCCTTGTATTCTTCTGATTGTTCGGTAGTTTCATTCCCTTAGTTTATTCGAATGAAAATACCGAACAACCAGACCTCCCCTGTGTAAAGTGTGTCCTCAATTACCCGTTGCAACATTGTTGCGAACGGGTAATTGACTAGGAAGTAGCCGTCCTTTGTTCTCGGGGGTGGCCGCCATTCGACAAACGAACACGTGGCGGCGGCCATTTTAAAACTCCCGAACAGCGGTGTTTTGCCGTCGAGTGTCTGGAACTAAAATCGGACACTCGAGTAGGCGAACACCGCTGAGACCTCCACAAACCTGGTCCGTTCGGTTCCAAACTACCGAACGGCCCCTCGTTCGGTAGATAGAAAATACCGAACGAGGGGATTCAGGCGAACCCTCCCTAGCCTCTATAGCTAGAGGCTTTCGTGTATTTTGTTCCCTTATGCCAGGACCGACCGCAGGGCCCATTCGCATGGAACCTTATTCGGCTATATCAGTTAGTGCGGTCGGTCATTTTATTCCCTCCATACATTTCCGAACCCCTGGTCTGATCTAGGTGATTTTTGGATATGTTGTTCACCCAGATCAGGGGTATCCGGGGATGTAGGATTTAAAGAGGTACCCCTACGTTTAGGGGTACATCCAGAAACGGGGGGAATTACTGTACTGGATAAAGGGATTATGATGCTGGCTGAGGGGAGGAGATGTGTGGGAGGTTACCAGGACAGGATTGGCTACTGTACTAATTACTGTAAATCCCTCCCTTGCATGGGAGCATGCTTTATAAGGAGACTGTGGATTAAAGATTTCAGTTCTGCTCCTGAAACTGTGTGTCGTCCAGTTATTGGGATTGCTGTTGGGATATTGCTGTTATTTTACCTGCTGGAAACCTTGCCTGTGGATTTATTATTTACTTGTTCCTGAGCCTCACTTGGATTATAAGCAGAGATAACCTGGGGAATATTGCATCTCCGCTACAAACACGACAAAGGGGGGGGGACACTGCAATGTCTGTAAGGAACACGTTAAAGGGGTACACACACTGCAATGTCTGTAAGGAACACGTTAAAGGGGGACACACACTGCAATGTCTGTAAGGAACACGTTAAAGGGGGACACACACTGCAATGTCTGTAAGGAACACGTTAAAGGGACACACACACACTGCAATGTCTGTAAGAAACACGTTAAAGGGGGACACACACTGCAATGTCTGTAAGGAACACGACAAAGGGGGACACACACTGCAATGTCTGTAAGGAACACGTCAAAGGGGGACACACACTGCAATGTCTGTAAGGAACACGACAAAGGGGGACACACACTGCAATGTCTGTAAGGAACACGTTAAAGGGACACACACACACACTGCAATGTCTGTAAGGAACACGTGAAAGGGACACACACACACTGCAATGTCTGTAAGAAACACGTTAAAGGGACACACACACTGCAATGTCTGTAAGGAACACGTCAAAGGGGGACACACACTGCAATGTCTGTAAGGAACACGACAAAGGGGGACACACACTGCAATGTCTGTAAGGAACACGTTAAAGGGGCACACACACTGCAATATCTGTAAGGAACACGTCAAAGGGGGACACACACTGCAATGTCTGTAAGGAAAACTTTAAAGGGACACACACTGCAATGTCTGTAAGGAACACGACAAAGGGAGACACACACTGCAATGTCTGTAAGGAACACGTGAAAGGGACACACACACACTGCAATGTCTGTAAGAAACACGTTAAAGGGACACACACACTGCAATGTCTGTAAGGAACACGTCAAAGGGGGACACACACTGCAATGTCTGTAAGGAACACGACAAAGGGGGACACACACTGCAATGTCTGTCAAAGGGGGACACACACTGCAATGTCTGTAAGGAACACGACAAAGGGGGACACACACTGCAATGTCTGTAAGGAACACGTTAAAGGGGCACACACACTGCAATATCTGTAAGGAACACGTCAAAGGGGGACACACACTGCAATGTCTGTAAGGAAAACTTTAAAGGGACACACACTGCAATGTCTGTAAGGAACACGACAAAGGGAGACACACACTGCAATATCTGTAAGGAACACGTTAAAGGGGGACACACACACTGCAATATCTGTAAGGAACACGTTAAAGGGACACACACACTGCAATGTCTGTAAGGAACACGTCAAAGGGGGACACACACTGCAATGTCTGTAAGGAACACGACAAAGGGGGACACACACTGCAATGTCTGTAAGGAAAACTTTAAAGGGACACACACTGCAATGTCTGTAAGGGACACACACACTGCAATGTCTGTAAGGAACACGTTAAAGGGACACATACTGCAATGTCTGTATGGAACACATTAAAGGGACACACACTGCAATGTCTGTAAGGAACACGTTAAAGGGACACACACTGCAATGTCTGTAAGGGACACACACACTGCAATGTCTGTAAGGAACACGTTAAAGGGACACACACTGCAATGTCTGTATGGAACACGTTAAAAGGGGACACACACTGCAATGTCTGTAAGGAACACGTTAAAGGGGGACACACACTGCAATGTCTGCATAACACACTTTAAAGGGACACACACTGCAATGTCTGTAAGGAACACGTTAAAGGGACACACACACTGCAATGTCTGTAAGGAACACATTAAAGGGGGACACACATACTGCAATGTCTGTAAGGAACACGTTAAAGGGGGACACACACTGCAATGTCTGTAAGGAACACGTTAAAGGGGGGGACACACTGCAATGTCTGCATGACACACTTTAAAGGGACACACACTGCAATGTCTGTAAGGAACACGTTAAAGGGACACACACTGCAATGTCTGTAAGGAACACGTTAAAGGGACACACACACTGCAATGTCTGTAAGGAACACGTTAAAGGGGGGGACACACTGCAATGTCTGCATAACACACGTTAAAGGGACACACACTGCAGTGTCTGTAAGGAACACATTAAAGGGGGACACACATACTGCAATGTCTGTAAGGAACACGTTAAAGGGGGACACACACTGCAATGTCTGTAAGGAACACGTTAAAGGGGGGGACACACTGCAATGTCTGCATGACACACTTTAAAGGGACACACACTGCAATGTCTGTAAGGAACACGTTAAAGGGACACACACTGCAATGTCTGTAAGGAACACGTTAAAGGGACACACACACTGCAATGTCTGTAAGGAACACGTTAAAGGGACACACATACTGCAATATCTGTAAGGAACACATTAAAGGGACACACACACTGCAATGTCTGTATGGAACACGTTAAAGGGACACACACACTACAATGTCTGTAAAGAACATGTTAAAGGGACACACACACTGCAATGTCTGTAAGGAACACGTTAAAGGGGGGGACACACTGCAATGTCTGCATAACACACGTTAAAGGGACACACACTGCAATGTCTGTAAGGAACACATTAAAGGGGGACACACATACTGCAATGTCTGTAAGGAACACATTAAAGGGGGACACACATACTGCAATATCTGTAAGGAACACGTTAAAGGGGGACACACACTGCAATGTCTGTAAGGAACACGTTAAAGGGGGACACACACTGCAATGTCTGTAAGGAACACGTTAAAGCGACACACACACACACTGCTATGTCTGTATGACACACTTTAAAGGCACACACACACTGCAATGTCTGTATGGAACACTTTAAAGTACTTGGACGGAAAGGGCTAATCACTGCTCAGCACCTTGTTCCAGCTCGTGGAGGAGTCGACTGGGAAAGTCGTTGTAAGTACTAGAGCTCCCAGGGCTGTGTGTCGTCAAGTCCCTGGGAATGATTGGAGCTGGTCCCCTATCCTGCTCGAGGACGGAGTGGCTCTAGGAGGACCCCAGTCAAGCCACGGCAACTGGGGCAGAAGCGCTGAGGTTTTCCCCTGTTCCAGCTAGGAAGCGTTCCTTGGCGGAGGTTCCCTGCCAGGGTACAGGGAGCTCCGTTACAGACACATATTGCAATGCCTGTATGACACACTTTAAAGGGACACACATTGCAATGTCTGTATGGAACTATTTGAAGGAACACACACACTGCTGTATCTATACAGATCACAATGACACACCCTGTTACATACTAGCATTGTCAATGTCCTCGGCTGTCCATAACCTTTGACCTGTGATAGTGAAAATCTCTTCTCCCATTTCATTTTCTTTTCATTAAATTTGTGATTTTGAGATATTCAGCTCGATTTGAAAAGATTAACAAGAAATGCAAAAACTGAGCAATTCTGACAGTCAGAGCAAGAGTGATCATTACAAAACTGGGTTGCAACAGACCCAATGTATGTTTTAATATAGGATGTTACTGATAATGCTTTGTATTTATTGTATTGTACTGCTATCCCCCCACTCCACTGCTTGCCTTCTCTCATCCTCTCTGCTCCACCTTCCCTGCCCCGTCTATAATACTCTCTTACTCCTCACCTTCCCGCCCTCGCCTATAATACTCCCCTACTCCTCACCTTCCCTGCCCCGCCTATAATATTCCTCCTTCTACTCCTCACCTTCCCCTGTCTGCCTAATATTCTCCCTACTCCTCACCTTCCCCTGCCCCTGGCCTATAATATTCTCCTACTCCCTCACCTTCCCTGCCCCATCACACACATTCTCCTACTCCTCACCTTCCCTGCTCCGTCTATAATATTCTCCTACTCCTCACCTTCCCTGCCCCGTCTATAATATTCTCCTACTCCTCACCTTCCCTGCCCCATCTATAATATTCTCCTACTCCTCACCTTCCCTGCCCCGTCTATATTATTCTCCTACTCCTCACCTTCCCTGCCCCGTCTATAATATTCTCCTACTCCTCACCTTCCCTGCCCCGTCTATAATATTCTCCTACTCCTCACCTTCCCTGCCCCGTCTATAATATTCT